GTCGCGGTTATCGGCGCGCTTGTCCGCGAGGTTCCGTCGTGGGATTCTCCCAGAAAGGCGGCCGCAGCCATTGCAGCGTTTATCGTCGACTGGTAGTCTATATTCGGATGGGTTATCGGGCCGTTTCAATGTTCAGGGATGATAGCGATAAGGCGCTTTTCGCGCGATTAATCGCTCACCGTGCGCAGCCGATGATGAGGTCCATCTCCGTTGGGCGTTGTCGAGGACTCCATCGAGCTACTAACTCTCTCGCGACTCTACTGAGAGACGATCGAAGGCTCTTTTCCGCCGGCGGGTGATCTAGCTCCCCGCGGCTCGTCAGCTGATGTCACCGTCTATTTGAAGGCGGTCAGCAGAACCTCTACGAGGCTTCTGCGTCTCTCTCCGACCGCTATTCCGGTCTGACCCTGGCGGATTGCGCGAATCGCGGCGCCGGCATCGGGCCTAAAGCGCGCTCGAATGTAAATTACGAGAAAGTTAATGACCGGTTATACGACGTGCCGGAGCGGCGCCGTTTAGGCGATTCCTAGTCGTCCGTCGCTGATCGATCAATTACTGCGGACTCCATAAATTTTCCCGAGGTCCGACGCAGCTTGGCGGCCGGAAGTAAGTGCCGATCCTCCCCCAGGGTTCGCTGTCGAGGTCGCGAAGGATCCTTGGTGGTGAGGGGAATTTTAGGACTTGGTCTCGCAAAAGGTCGGTCCGATTTTTCTCGTTACTAATCCTGGGGTAAGTCGAAGGGTGCACACTGAAGGGACAACCCAATTTTCGCCCAACTTTCCTGGGGTCCAGGAAACTCGGGAACCTTCCATCGGTGCGCCGACCCGGTCGGTTTACGACCTGCCTCCAGGAGGCCGCACACTCTAAATAGAGAGGCGCGGTGGACTTTATGACTCGGGCTTTATTGCACCCTATATTTGCACCCGGGCGCACGTGGGGCGGAAGAGCGCGGGCCAGACCGTGCGGAAGCGCCGCAGACCCCGACAATTGCTCCCACGCGATCCGGGACCGCCGAATCGAGGCCGACTATCTCGACCCTGCCAAACCTCGAATTAACGCGATTCGTTTGCAAACCGTCGGCGAACGGTCTGCGGTGCCTTCGAGGCTCGCGGCTATTTTGCCGGTTTTTACGATCATTGCCAAGGAACGATCTAAAAACAATGCCAGGAAATTATTGTAATTTGCCGGCCGGCCGATCCTCTCGGTCCAACTTCGGGCCAGTGACTTATGGCTCGCGTGACGCCGAGCTGTTACTTTGCGCCCTGGACGGGAAAAAGCTCCCTGGGAGAGGTACTCCATGGTCGTCCTGGTCGAACCCTCTAGGAACCGGGTTCTGGTCCCGAGTTGAACCTTACGGGTGGATTCGGATGCGGTTTCTCAGGGCACGCTTGGATCGACGTTTTGTCCCTCTTCTTGGTCGCTTCCTGATGTCCTCTTGACAGGTCACCGTCCAACCGCGCCTCAAGCCTTGCGGAAGCTCGCTCTTCGTGGTCTCGGCAACGCGATAGCCGAGCCACCAGCTACCGCGGGTAATGGCGACGAGCGATTTTCTCTGCCGTCAAGAGCGAGTGTCACGAAGAGGATCCCGTTCCTCGAGACGGTCCGTGGATTCGTGTCCGGTGTCTCTCGGTCTCGCTGGTTGGCCATTGTCTTGGCGCTGGTGCAGTTGTCGCTTCGGTTACGCCACCTTGCACCGCCGTGACCGTGGCACCGTCGAGAGCCGACCCGAGAGCCTCGATAAGGACCCTCGAAAGGTCTGGGAAAAGAGAAACCTTAGCTCGAGGACACGGGACCACCTCGATATCGCGTCCCACTAATCGGTGAACGCCAAAAGATTTTCGCACGTCACTCGTGAGCACTTGGGGAATGTCTTCAAAATTTGATCTTGAGAAAAGATCAAGCTGAATCAGGGCGCTGTACTAAATAAACATTTCAGGGCTTTCCTTAGATGTTCACGAGTCTTGGGTTGAAATCTCAGCCATTTCTGGTTCAGGGGAATATCATTAAAAAAACTTGAATGCGCGGTTTGCTTCATTGCAAAAAAATGTTTGAACCTTTATAAATACGTCCACGAACTTATGGAACGATCCAGTAGCGAACGGCGCAGCTCTTGGAAGGCCTTCTACCGGTTTTGCGATCGCTACCGGCGGCTCTTCTTGCTGCTTCTGCCAGAGACGCGCTTTCATCTGCTCCGGAAAATGCATATCGGGAGCGGACGCGAAGACCGAAGAAGCCTCTTCGTCCTCGGACGCGAAAAAGGAGGAGAGGGAAAGCACGGTGTTCACTTTCGAGCCCGGACGCGCTCTCCTTTTCCCGGCCGACACCCTTCCCGGAGAAAATGGACGCCCCGTCTTCTATCGGGGCGTTTCGCGAAGACATTACACGCTCTGCCGGCATCTGTCGGCTCCATTGTCGTTGCAAAACCCAGAAGGCCCCTAACAAACCGAGCCACCGCTGCGTCGTTGGTTGGCCCAACCTCTCCGGCAACCTTCAGCCATTGCCCGCCACTTTTACCGAGGGCCTGACTTTTATCGCCGAAGGTTGCGACACGACTCAGTTTTCACGTAATCGACCTGGTTCCCTTAACGACCGTTGCAATTGCTCCAAAACTCGAGGTTCTGCCCCGCCATGGAACGCAACAAGAACCACCCTCAGTTCCCACTGTACAAATTCATATCTTTACGGACTCTTTTTATCGGAATTTTTATCAATCAACTCGCGATAGTTTCACGGCAAATACCCATTTCATCACATATAAACAACTCAACTCAAACTCTCAACACCCCCAGTGGACGCGAAACGCTCACCGAATTGCGAAATTTAGCATAACGCGTTATTTTGCATGGAAGATATTTTTCCCAAGTTTCTCATTAAAACAACCCTAGTTTTAATCATTATACGGCGAGCTTTAGGAATTCTTGATTTTTTTTTAACGGTTGCTTATCTAATTAATTCATGAAGCTGGAGCCCCCCTGAGATCCTTTGTCCGCAATCTTGCCCGTGTCGATCAGTTTTTATTCGATACGAATAAGAGCTGCGTTTCTGATAGCGTTATCGCGCCTCCACCCAAAGCATGTGAGGCGATGTTTGGGCTGGAACGTGCTTTCAAACCCGAACAAATCGCGGTTGCGCAAACGTTTCTGCGCGATCGTACGTCCGCACGAGACGGAATAAGCCCCGACGTGTCTGGAGAGTTCAACGCTCGGAGAGATAGCATCGTATGGTGATTCAACGGAGCGGCGGAAGCTCCGGCCTCGAAGACGAAGCCGAAGACAGAAGTCGCTGCCAAATCGGCAAAAATTGAACGGACCCCTGCAAGGCGATTTTCCGTGGGAGAGATGTAACAGGGAAGGGACTCCCGAGGGACTCCACGAGGCCAAACGAGTTTCGCCTCCTCGGGATTCCCGGATGCGCGCCGAGTCGTTAAGCGCAAAAGCAAAATGCCGCTTGATTTGCGGCAAGATGCGTAACCGAGACCTGAATCGGCGTCTTTTAATCTGGGAACTGCTCATAGAGATGGCCAGGTTGTGGGAGGCTGTGGGAGGTGGGAAGTTCCCCATTAAGATGGGGGTACCAACCCAGTCGAACGTCTTCATAGGGAGTGCTCGGTACTTCGGCAGCCGCTCGGCCGTTACGGGAACACGAGTAGTCACCCAATCAGAGCGAGGAGGGAACAAAAGAAAGGTGAAAAGAGACCGAACTTATCGACCCGTGGGATCGGGGCCCACATCCTGGCAGGCGCCTATCGGACGGCTCGGCGCGATTTATTATCGGTCGATCGGCGGATCCCGCGGGAGAGCTGGACTCTCTCGAGACGAGAGGTCGGGACGCGTTTTCGTGGCCCGGAAAGCCACGGACCGATCAGCGGGGACCGACCTCTCGACACAAAGAAACGGCCTCTGGAACCCCGGAATAACGGCGATCGCGGTTAAACGCTGGTGACGGATGCTCGGATGGTTTCGGGAGACCGGGGAGGAATGACCAGACGGCTTGGTACAGTTACTCAGGCCGGAAGCCCGGAATGCTCTCTCGGTGCCTGAAACGCAATTACAGGGCAGCACAATTGGCACCCTCGTTACTCGGAGGAGACACGCTTCGAGCCTCGACGCCGAATCCTGCTCGGCCTGACTGCCTTGGATAACCACTACACCGCCCTACTCCTGACTTCGCCATTTTTAAGAATTAAATAAATTAAAGGTCGAATAAACCATTGGCATCTTATACCTAATACGTCGAAAACGATTCGTGTAATTTTTTTTTTTCAACGCTGCAGGTTGAACACAACGATTCTATTTCTTCGCCTCCTTCGCGTAAGCTAAGGAAACCTGCAGTTCAGGACTAAAGAAGCCGATCTGGAGAACAACGCGGAAGCGCAGGAGCCTAGCAGACTGCCAGGAGCATAAAGCATCCTTTGGATTGTCAGGGCTACACTGGAGCCCCACAATCCCTCCCCCGAGACACCCCCTGAGATGTGGACGCGGTCGTTAATACCGTTACGAGGGGCAATTCAGGGAAAGTTATTCGCCCGTAAATCAGATCGTAACAAGCGCCGTTAGATTTGCAATGATAATCTGATGGTAATGCGGTACGATTTGGTCGTGCGCGGTGCGAGAGTAAGAATATAATTAATAATTATGCTAATCCGCGGCGGCTCCGGCAGGGCGGAAGTTTTCTCCCCCTCGCCGAGACCGGGAGAAGCATCGCTTGTAAACGCCGAGGTGATTTTAAAGTTTCCACGATTTACGACGTCGAGCGAAACGAGGACTCGCGAGGGGCTCTTCGAGGTGGTCCCACGGCACTCTAACTGCCGCCGTACAAGGCGACTGTTTTCATAAACCGCGAAATCCATCATTCCCCTTTGCGATGCCCGTAAGAGTCCAGGGGAACATCCTCTGGTGGGAACCCTACCGAGAGCTCGACCCTGAAGAGGCCTCTTCGCGTCCTCCAGATGCTCTCAATAAATTCCTATAACCTCGTCGGTACATGTTTTCCATACTTACGTTGGTGGAGCAAGTGGAGGTGCAGGTCTCGGAGGTGGTGGCAAGGACTTCCTCCCCGGGGTGTTCTGCCTCGGAGCCAATGGCGGAGGTGGCGAAGACGGAGATCCCGACTCGTACCGGTCCAGGGGGCTCTGCGGCTGCGGTTTCTGCATGGGCGCGTCGGTGTACTTCGGAGGCAACGCATAGTAGTTCCTGGACGGAACCTCCGCATGTCGCTGGGGGTTAGGCACGTATTTCGGGGGGTCATGGTACTTCTGGGGACTACCTTCAACGAGTAGCTTGGTGCTGGCCTCGTAGGAAGTCTTGATGGGGCTGCCCACCGAGAAATGGGGACCGTCTGGGTACTTGGGGGATGAACTTTTAGGATTCTCCGGGATGGGCAAGTAATTCGGTCTCTGCTGGGCAGGGATGGTTCTGTCGCCGCCCATCGGCACCTGGGGTTGGGGCCTCTGTCCAGTGGAGGACTCCAGTCTCTGGTTCTCGTTCCTCAGCAAGCCCGACACGTCGGTTCTGGTGCTCTCCACTCTCATGGACTCCTGTCGGATGATGCGCGGCTCTACCGGGACCTGTGGTGCTGGTCGTTGGTTCCCGGAATCGCTGTATCTCTGGGAGATCAGGTCCGGAAGCTGAGCCGGAGGTCTGGAGGAGAAGAGCCGCTCCTCCGAGATGCGCCTGACCGGGGCTACTCGACCATTGACCATCAGCTTCTGGGTCGATGGGTACCTTAGACTGGACCTGCCGGTGGCGACCATCCTGTGGGTCGCGAAACCTGCCGACACTCCGTTCTCCACGACCATTTCCGACTCTACGTGCTTCAGGGTGGAGGCCCTGACGAAGTGCTGGCTCTGGGAGCTCTTCGTGGACGAGTTCACCGGCGAGGACTTGCTCTGCTTCTCGTGTTTCGATTGCGAATGCTTCGACCTTCTTACAGAGTGCCTTTCAGGCTGGGCCTTGTACCGCTCGTGGTCCCTCTTCTTCTCCTCGCTGGGCACCGAGTTCTCTTTGTTGTTCTCCGAGTTTTCGCTTAGCTCCGGCGGGGGTGGCGGCAGTGGGTCATCACAGTTCAGGACCTCGTTCTCCGTGACGGTAGGCGGCGACGGGGGCGGTAAATCAGGACTGGGAACACGATCGTTGTAGGCGGTACGTAGGTGGGGTTTTTTAGGTGGTCTCTCGGGCACCCAGTCATCGATGCAGATCGGCGGACCAACGATGACCGGCCCCAGCAGATCCGTGGAGAGGCTACCGCAGCTGTTGCTGTGCTGGTGCTTCGGGCTCGGCAACTCGGAGGCACCTTGTCCTCTGCTGGTCTTCTCTCTCCAAGTGCCACTGGCATAGTCCGACGCTGAGCTGGCTCTCCTCGAGCTGGAAGGTCTAGGTCTGGGAGGAGGCTGAGGTGGAGGACTCTGTGGAGCTGGTGCAGCACCTTGCGCCAATTGGGGCTCGGACCTCCAAGATGGCTGGTGATGCCTTTCATAAAACGAAAGCAGAGCCTTCTTCTGAATGGCCTTGAGGGTCGGGTCCGACACGCGATGTCTCTTTTCAGGGTCCAAGTACGTGTACCGCATCTGCTGTTGCTGCTGTTGCTGCTTCTCCAGCTCGCAGATCCTCTCTGCCACCGATAGCTGCGGCTGCTGAGGCGAGGTCGGCGTCATCCTGCAAGACAGCCATTATTGAACATACGTTTGATACACTTCCCCTTAAACAAGGGCATTTCTACATACCTGGTGGCCTGGCTAAGGTCCTGGGGCTGGGTGGTGCTCACAGGGTACAACTTCCGCTGACTACGCTCCCTGTCCAAGTAGAGGACACTCTCGGAGTGGTGTCGCTGCGGCGTCTGCACCCTTGCGCTGTGGGCGATCAGCTGTTTGCTGCCCTGCACGCCATTATTGCTGACATCGGACAAAGAACCATGGTGCGGATCCCAATCTTCAGGGCTCTGCGAGGCGCCGATCCCCTGCCTGGTGGGACTTTGTGGCATCGGTTGGCGTAAGGATCCGTACTTGTCCTGGTCATCCTTGGCAGGGGTGGTTGCCCAAGTGGAAAGTTTGCTCCGCTCCTGCGTGTCCTCGTCGATGCTGGACTCCTGCCACTTGGTTTCATGTGTTTCCGAGGACGAGGTCTGGCCGATGACGCTAGGAAGACTGGCCCTGCTGTGCTTGTTGCGCTCGTTCATGGTGCTCTGCCACTTCTCGCTGTGTCTGCTCTTGGCGGGCGACATCCCGGCGGAACTCACGTCCGACATGGAGCCCTGCCACTTGTCATGGACCACTCCGGACTTCTGGGCTACGCCGTTGACGCTGACATCGGACATGGAGCCGTGATGCCACTTGTCGGGCCCTGGTCGTGCTTGCAATCCGCTGGAAACGCTGACATCCGACATGGAACCATGCCACTTCAGGGTTTCGCTGCTGGACGCGCTGCCACTGGACGTGGTCACCACGCTGTCTCGACCTTCCCTGGTGGTCTCTTCCCAGGTGGACGCTGGCCTCTGCGCCACCGCCTCGCTGTCTCGCCTCAGCCTGGAAGGACAAAGAATGCGGTAGCATCCACGGGAACGAGGAGATAACCTCTGGCACGTATCGCTACGAGTTAAGAGAAGCGAATACCTGTCGAGGAACGGAGTGTTGGTCGTGGAGTCCACGCTGGACACGTAACTATGGTAGCCTTCGGATTGGGCATAGCTGGCTTGCTGGGAATGTTGCGCCCTGGTGTACTCCTCCAAACCGGCCTGCGTCAGGGCAGTTTCCTGGTAGAGGTCCACCTATAATAGGAAGAGGATGATCCAAGTGTCCGTCATAAGGACGCTGAAGAACTACCTGGCACCGCAGACCCACCTGGGACACCTGTGGGTCCTGGTAGCTCCTGACATAAGCTTCCAGGTCTGCGTGGCTGAGGGTCTGAGCACTCTGCTGCTCCCTTTCTGGAGGTGATGGCACCACGTATTCGGCATCACCCAGAGGTTTGCCCTCGCGATCTACACGAGGCCACAGTCTGGGCTCTTCTTCAACGCTGTTCCTGCCGCGGGACTCGAAGGTCTCCGCGGGTATCTTCTCGCACCGCTCCATCACGGTTTTCAGCTGAAAGGGGAACCATTCGGGTTATCACGAGGCGTCTACTCGTCGACTCTAGTCGTTTAACTGGGAGCTAACGAGTAACCAAAGAACACCGGGTGTCACCTGCTGCGTGAAGGTAGGGTTGGGCTTCTTCATGTGGGGTCTGGTGTACTGGGCCGGCTTCTCCTTGGGGTAGTTCGTGTAGTCGGTCCAGGAGTTGGACCGGTGGGACCCGCTGTGCCCCGAAGAATGGGCATCCTTGTCGGGGTGTCGCTCGGGGGCGCTGGGCCAGGATGGGTACTTCTCGTGCCCTGGACCGTAACAGACGCCCTTAAGGCTGGCCGCGTCCCTGACGGGCGGGGTGGGGGGCGGCGACGCCTCGTCCCTCTCGTTAAGGGCCAAGCTGAAACTGTCGAATCCAAGGCTCTCGCTGTACCTGAAGGGAAAATAATTCTCATCACCAGGGGGTCAACCTCGTCTGCCTCATCGCACCCTTAGAAGAGTCGACCTACCCGCTGTCGTTCTTGTAGCCCGGAGTATTCTTCTTGTAGCTCTCGTTGTAACCGGAAGTCGTGGATTTCTTCCCGTTCCCGAGCTCGCCCTCCCGCCTGGCTGGGTCGCTCCTGCGATGATAGTATTCACCAGGAGGCGACGGGCGCGCAGGACTCTGCTTGCCATATCTTTCCTCAGGAAACGGCGGAGAGCCCTTGTAAGAGGCAGCCTCGGAACAGTGGCTGTACTTGAAGGTCGCCGAGGAGCAGGAAGGCGGACCCGGAGCTTCATCCTGACCGCGATATCCTGGTGGCGACGGCTGCAGTTCCGTCATCGTGTTACCGATGTCCCCTCCATCCGGGATACACCTGGGTCAAAGGGGAACGGAATTAATTTCACTTCCTCTCCACCTGGCCGAAGCCGCGTAACCGCAAATTGCAACTCCGACCGCCTCTAACCTCACTTTCCAAACTCCCGGCATAAGTATAAATTTCTGTGAAAAGTGAAAGACCAAAACCAAAGCTAGGAGTACAGAATTAAACTCTAAACTGCCGAGGCTGCAAAATCAAGGTCGATTTTGATCAGTACGAGAGACTTAACCTTTCGAGTCACGATTTCAGACCTCAGGACCCGCCAGGATACGGCACTGGTTCTTCGCGAACGGTACTCGCAGGCGGCCATGTCGGCGCGTAACGCCTCGAGGGTCCTCGCGCGTGTAAGTGCGTACACGCGTGAGCACTTACACGCACTTGGTGGTCGTACAAGCGGACCACTGAAAATCGACGAAGAAACCTATCGAGTCACCGCGGGATTCGTCTTCGAGCAGGACTCGGGACCATCGAGGCCAATGTCATCGCACCGCGAAGACATCAACCGGTCGATGGCTCCTCCTCGCAGGATCGATCCTGCCAATTCGGGCCCCTCATATTGCGCAACCATCTCCGTCTCGTTTCCGAAGTCCACTCGCCTCGAGCTAGCAAAGAGCCCATCAACGATGGCTGGAAAACAGGCGAAGGATCATCGAGAGGCGCGGAGGAAGTGTAGCAGAAGCGGTGACGCCGCACATCCCGAGTCACTTCCCGGAGGCTATTTCGCTCTTTTCTTCCCTCTCGCTCTTCCCTCGGGAGCGGGAGGTGACGCGGAGCAGGAGAAAGAGAGAGCATTGAACCCTTATCCGCGAAGTCCCCTAAATCACGCGGCTTAATTGCGAGCTCTCGGGTGTTGGGAGTCGAGTTTCGAGCCGGGCAAGATGGCGGCCGATTCGTTTCCCTTCGAACGTAAGACCCTTTGTTCGCAGAAATGCAGACCTCGGCAGCGCCGACCATTCTTCAATATTTCCCACTTAAGTAATACAAGACCGGATAACGAAACAACGATCCAGATTATCCATGTCTTATCGTCGGGGGGGGGGATGTCATTTTTTAAGTAAGGAGCCTCGAGAGCGTCGCTCCAAGACGCAGCTCGCAAACGAGGGGATCGGGCCAAGCGAGATCGATGGAGGAGAGAAAGAAACGGCGAGGCGAATTTCACGGGTGGTGGCCGAGGAAAAAGGAGAAGAGGCGAGATTACATCACGTAATTAATGCGCGCCGAGTTCGTTGACTCGGACCTCCCCTGTAATTCCGGAGAGCGATATCTTGGGAGACCGGGAACGGGTATCGGCCGCGATCGACATTGATCCTCTCCTCGATCCCGCGATCGGGCGTCGCGGTAACGAGAGTTTAAGGAGGGGAAAAAGGAAGGAGGAAAACCAAGGCCCGGTAGCAACGCTCGATTCGTTCCGAAACCACCGGTTGCATCCACCGTGAAATAGGACGACCTCGACGAGGGAGGGCATGTTGACGTCCGGTGCTTTCTATGATTGACAATGCTCTGAAAACCCAGACTAATTTAGAGGAACCCGCGGGAGATCGAGAGGAACCGGGAACCAGTTCTCTCGTAGGTGGGAGGCAACTGTTGACAGAGAGCCGTCGAGAACGGACGAGGCTCTATCTCGTGACGAATATCTTCCGCGTAACGAGGTGGAATGGAAATGAGTCCTGGAGGAGGGTCTCGAGTCCCGAGGATCGGAACCTGGGGAATAACCTCGGAGGGTCAAGAAAAGGGTCATGTACCTTCCAATTGAAACACGAATGCCACAACGTTGGATTCCAGTCGGACGAATTGGAACTCGAGTAAGTCAAAATCGATGTTGGCGACTTCGTCGACGCTCGATTAAACGCACGCCAAGAGGTGTAAAGATTGCGAAATTGAGCTGTACGTTGTTACTAAGAACATAAAAATTCCACATGGCGATAACAGTTACTGTGTGTTATAAAATCAGGGAGAACGTCGGCAACGAAAGATGGCCGCCGCCCGTTCCGTCCTCGAGCCTCGTATGCGCATGGACACCCTTAATCTCTTTTTTAGATCGATGGAAAGGGTTTCTGGGCCTTTTGCCCCTGACGATCTCTAAAAACCACGGCAGAAAAGGAACGGGAGCGACTCGTGGGTCGCCGGTATGGAAATGGGGTCCGATTCTTCCACCGGGTCCAGAATTATGATCTCTCTCCGCCGTGGGCCGCGTTGGCGGCAGTGCCGGGTCTCCGCTGCGTGGGCCCCGCAGCCTCTGGACCGCTTCCCTCTCTTTCTTCTCGACGAACGGTAGCCGGTCGGTCGGCTTAAAGCGAGAAAAAAGGATCCCGCTCCCGAAGATCCCGGGGGACGCTCCTTCCCGGCGCACCTCTCCCCAGAAGGCCGGCTCCATTTATTTCAACGGCTGTCGGAAGCCGCGCGATTTACGTCCTTAAGACCCCCGAAAAATGGGCCCTCCGAGACATATCTTCTTCTTAAGAGTCGGATCCTACTTCTCCAGGCCCAGGGCACATTCGGGCCTCTATCTGCAAGGTGAAATTAAAAACCCGCGAGGTGCCGCGTGCCTCGCCGGAATAAGACGAGGACGCGATCGACGACCTCGAGGAGGTCCTCCGACTCGGTGCTCCTCTTTCCCGGAGATCCGTTCTCCACTTATTCCAAAAGCCCCTCGAAAGTTCCTCGATTTACGACCAGAGGCCCAGTTTGTACCGGGTGCCTTTATAATGGACGAGAGCTCCAGAGAACGTGCCTCGTCGTTCTTTTCGCTCTCGTTTCTCTTTGACGCAACCGATCGAGGCATTCCGGGGCACGTATCGATGGGGTTTTCCCGTTTCATGGGAATCCCGTGGGAAGAGGGATCCAGGGAGGGTCTTAGGGGCCCTAAGCTTCCCAATGGGTGCGTGCCAGGGCACCCGGGTTATGGGGCCCCCTCTAGAGCGGGGCCGGTTGCTCCACCGGCTCGCGCCATTAGGAGGCGTTCTGCAAGAATGGGAGAAAAATCCTCGGCCGGGGAAACCGACGGAGAGTGATTTCCTCCGGCTCTACGGCAAAACCTCGACGAGCGCCTTCCTCCTTCCTGAGGGGGCCCTCCTCGCTCGCCTCTTTGCGAAACCGATAAACCGTAACTCCGTGACCGTTTATCGGTTGCGAGCGAAGCGTCAAGCATTAAGCCTGATTTACGAGACACCATTAATGCCGCCTCTCACGATAAATACCCACCGAATCTCCCGGAAACACGGAGCGGCGGAGAAAACGCACTGAAACGCGATTCCGTCCCGGCGAGTCCGGCGAAAAATCCCGGCCGGATTTTTGCGGCATGGGACACGCTGGAACGGGGAGCAATTAACATCGGAATGGCGATTCAGAGGAACCTGGTCTCCCCTGGCCAGGGGCCAGGTGAAGCGGGAAGAAGCCGGTGAATCCGCCAAACAATGCTCCATTGTGCCCGACCGATTGGCATTCCTCTGGCCGATACGCCAGTTACGTCAAGCTCCTTCGATTCAATCGATCCCATTGATCTGCACCGGAGTATCGGTTCCGACGTACCCATCGATTGTGCCATCCCGGCTCCTCTCCCCAGGAATCGGGACTGGAAGACACCTCCTCGGCGCAGTGGGGCCCACGTGTTCGGTATAATTAACGCCAGGATTTTTCCCATCCCAGGAATGATTTCCAGAGTGCCTCCTATTCCGCGTCCTGGTAAGCCTGAGAAGGTCTCCAGCACCTATAACAACCGGTCACTCCGAGCCGATCACCTGGACGGGACCGAGTCCGACAATTTCATCCAGGGACTTATCGCGCCGACGTAAACTCATATCAAAGCAAGTCCCACGTCGCGCCTCGCCGAGCGGGTTTCTTCCCCAGGGAAACGTCGCCCCGGGTGGACGGGACGTCCTCTGGAAGACGAGGGGACGTTTCTTGCCGGCCGCATGATGCGACTGAACCGCGGCGGGTTTCTTGCGTGGAACCGTCCTCTCGCGTTTCCTCGTTCCTCCGGGAAGGTGACGAGCCACGATAGACTCGGCTGGGCTTATTAGAGGATCCGAAAACTTTCCCACTTGGATTCCTCCGAGTTGGATGCCCCCAGGTGGAAGTCCTCAGGGGAGAAGAGAGGTCCTGGCAGGGTCTACGCGGAGACCCCCAGGATTCCTGGCCCCCTGGAAAAAGAGCCTGGGGGGTGCAGGGGGACGATCGAGAGACCCGTGGGGTGCCATAAGAGCCGAGTACACGGATCCGAGGAGAAGTGAGAACCGGAGAACCGGAGAACCAGAGAACCGGAGAACCGGAGAACCGGTCCTTCTCGAGCCGGGCTCGCTCGACTTGGCGCCCATTGGCGTGGGACCTGCGGGTGTGGGTGCCATCTCGGCAAGGACTCGGACTTAAGCCTGCTCCCTGCCGCAATTGACTTTAATCCCATTGAGTCGGTGTCCAGGCATTCGGAGTGGTTTTATGAATATCGCCGGTGGCCAAAGCGGAGTCTGCCGCGATGGACCAAGACGTCCCCCCAAACGACGTCCTACCTCCCCCGAGGGTGACGTTTCATTCTTAAAACGGGAACTAGAGGACTCTATTAAGGAATTTCCATCGTACATTTAACGATTTGTACCCAGTGACGAGTTAAATCCACCTAGGCCTTCCAAAAAGCAGAAAACCAAGACTACCACGAACTTGGTCATGGTCTTGCGTTAGCTCATCGCCGTTTCTCCCGCGGAACATTTCACCGCGGTTAGACTTCTTTACGAGCACCGGTCCTATCCTTCGTTCAAGCGAGGACATTACCATCTCCATTATATCCATAGTTACAACGCCCACGAATGATCAGCCACCTATGCCCCCCAACCAAGCACCCACCATCCCATCCACATCCTCAAAGCCCCACCACCCATTGGGAGCCGAGTACTGTTACCCCTTGTCATCCAGCAGGGACTGGACGTCGTCGGTCATCCCGCTGGCGTGATCGGAGCCCATCGGACGGGTTTGGTACAAGCGAAACAATTAAAACAGCCAGCCAGCCA